AAAAGACCAGAACATCTCCTCACCAGCAATCATCACCCAGATAAACAGAGGTTACCACCAGGCACACAATCAAGCAGTAAACATGCCAATCAAGGAACTATCAGAGGAGCAAAACAACCCCCCCACCAGCACTGGCGAGGCAGGCCACGGTATATAAATAGAGAGCAAACCCCAGCCTGTTTTAGCACTGAAGATGTTACCTAGTGGGGTAATGAAACGTTTGCAAGAAAAGAACCAAGCTCAGAGAATCCCAAGGACTCCACAGTTGAACCCTGAGCTACACATTCACCTCTAAAGGAAAGGAATACATTGCAGGTCAGTACTTGCTCTCACAAGTCTTCTGACAGAGTACAGGTCATACTCCAGTTATGACCTGTAGCCTATAATGAGATGAATGGGCTGCCAGCTGAATCAGTGGCAGACAGGATGGCTGGCTACTCCCTCCTAACTGCACAGACTATGCTAGCCTTGTTTGACCAACATGCATCTGTCTCTGTTAGGACTGATGACCTGAGGAATTAAATAAAAACTTATGCAGAGGTCTCATTAAAGTGACAACAGCATTCTTTTCATTCCCCTTGTTAGGTAGCTGGGTGTAATACTATGCCTCCTAATATGCAGACAGAAAATAGACCATATAATAACTACTTAAAGAACAAGGTGAACTCTGTGCACATCTCAAAGAGGACCCTAAATCCACTTACACCTACAAGCTGTTCTCAAACCTCTCAGAAGAGTTGATACAAACTCAAGGCAGCATTCCCTCTATGACACAGACTATTTCAGAACATCCCAGACCATAGGCTGAATTCATTACTAATGTCTCTATAACTTCATCATTTTCAAAAGTTAGATCTAAAGAACATAGCCTTGATTTTCCCCAACCCCATTAACCTTTCAGAAGAGCTATACAGAGAGGCAGGTAGGTAAACCTTTATTACTGTCATTGACCAACATACAGAGAGGCATTGCTTGCAGACCTCAGGAAAATTCAGGGGTCTTCACCCCCACATCCCTCATCAAAAAACTTTGGAGATCTAACACCTTGTCTAGCCTTATGGGAGTTTCCACAAGCTGATCAACACCCATCAGGAGCAGTGGTTACTGCCAACCACCTTCCCTCTACTTTCCTATCGTGCAAGGAGATCTACTACAGAAATGAGAGCCAGCTGCTCAGATACTCAACGGACTGAGTGAAAACCATTGCTAGGGCAATGATGGGCATGCCTTGGTATGCCCATGTAACAACTCTGTTTCATGAGATGCACTGGTTGCCAGCTTGCTTCCGGCTATAAACCCTTCATGGCATAGGGCCTGTTATCTGAATGACCACCCATCTCCCACAATATCTACCCAGCACTTTCCTGAAGCAGCACCTGCTCTCCAGAATGAGCCCCCCCCCCCCCCAAGATCTGGATGACACCCTGCTGGTGTTTAAAAGGGCTTTGAAGAGGTGACTCTTTGCCTAGGCTTTTGGCTAGAGTGAGTGAAGTCCCCTTTGGATTCTGTGGGTTTGTTTCTCTTTCATTCCTGTCTGGTTCTTGTCATCCTTACCATCTTTTATTCCTTGTCTCTTATTGTATTTTTTTATTGTTTTAATGTTTTTACTTGTGAGCTGCCCAGAGTTACTGGGAATCAGGCGGCATGTTCTACTGCTACTAGAACAACTGTGGCAAAAAAAAGCAAAGATAGTATCAATAGTAATAGGCGCCTGGAGTGTAAACCCAAAACATCTGGAGTAATGTTTGAAGACCATCGTCATTGACAAAATCACCATCAGTCAGTTGCAAAAGACAGCTTTACCTGGAACAGCTTACCGTATTTTTCCGACAATAAGACGCCCCCATGTACAAGACAACCCCCACTTTTCCAGCCCAAAATTAAAAA